TGCGGCGTGGACCGCCTGATTGCCAGCGGAGGCGATATAGGCAGTTAAGAGGCGAAATAAAAAGCAAAGGGGAGAAGATAAAAAAAAATATAAGAAAATAGCGTGGTGCGCGTCAAAGGATTCCGGAGCTGGCTGCAGCGGGGGCGGTCTGGTGGCGTAGCCCCTGCCGCCTCCGCCCGCACCGACCCCCTTGGCCCGCGGGCCCTCACGCAGTGAGCGGCCCCGCTCCCCTCACCACAACGGCCTTGCTAGACCGCTCCAAATTCCTCGCCATGAATCAGCCAAATGAGAGGAGCGGATACGAGGCGGCATGCGGCGCTCAACATTGCGTTACAGAGAGAGAGACATACAGTGCATTTCTTTCTCGTCAACTACAAAGCATTTGCGTCTCGGTACTTGGCAAAATTATCCCCTTGTTCTGTGGTTTGAAGTTTGTCGGCGTGTTTTGTTCTCGCAGCGCTGGTCTCCGTGATGGCGTGCCTCCCTGGCGCCAGACGTACACTGGCTGAGAATTATATATTTGTTCGGTCAAAAGGTATCAAAGGCTTACATCACAGTTAAGCGTTCAGCTTTAAATTTTTAATGTGTTGTACCTAGTCATTTTAGTAGATGATACAATAATACCAATACAATAATACCCAACTTGCACTACTCTGAAAATTGTATCACCGTGCGGGCTGACCGCCCCCCCGCCCCCCCTCTTCTTGGTTTCTGTTCGAGCCTAGTACATACAATGCTGACTGCCTTAAGTTTGGCTTAACCGTGACAAACCATCTAGTCTATCTTGCATGCACCATGGATATGGATATATCCTGATACGGAAGTACTTCCATTCTCTTCTAATTTGCATCACGAAAGGTCGGGGGAGTCGTCCTTGGCCGCCTGAACCTCAGCTGACCCCTGGCCTCGGCTGAGCTTTATTGGCTGAGCGTATCGGCCGGGAGGCTCTAAAGCCCGTCGCTGCCCACATTGTTGGACGTTGCGGTTTCAAGGACCTGGCCGTCCCGCCTAGCTGCCGAGCGGCCAAAACCAATTTGGGTTTTGAGATTTAGCGGCGAAGTTGGCGGCGGCCGGGTCAAAGCGTGGCGGGGCGTGGCGGGGCGTGACCGCTTGGGCCGCCGGGGTCTGTACCCTGGAGGGGCGCCAACACACTGCCGCTGCAGCCCAGGCTCTCCCTAACGCAATTAAGTAGCGGAATAAGAAGGCGATTTTCCGTGATTTTTACCTTTCCTTTCACTGGCCGTGCCTGGTGTTGCCAGCCCCGCGACCCACTCATTTTCTTATAATAAGAATATAAGGAATTGTTGAAAAGACAGCGAGCGAGAGAGGCAGAGATGGAGAGTGTGAAAAAGGGGGAGGAGAATGCGAGGAGGAGCCTGCGGCTGCTTAGGGGGGGGGTGGCATGCAGAGGAATTTTCATTTGGACGTTATATGTAGGCCAGACCATCCAGCCGTCAGGGCCAGACGCGTCGCGCCCGGCGGGATGGAGCGCGGTGGGGCGGCTGTTGGGGAAGGTCGGCTGCGCGACTCGCATTTAGATTTTATAAAACAACAATGACTCTGTGAAAAATATTTCTAAGTTTTACGGGGATTTTTTTCCATGAGATATGTTGAAAGGAAAATTATTAAAACAAGATAGCAATGTGAAATTCTTTGTTGAGCAACAAGAAGCCGGCTGAAATTTACGGTACCTGCAGCACGAACCCGATCGTAAACTCTCGGCATTGTCCCCATCAATTACCATAATACATATCGTAAATTTATACAGTTTTTTTGAAGGGAACTTTAAGGGAATTCGGAACACTTACCTTAACTTTATTGGCCTCGCGTCTCACAACATTGCTCACTAGACTAATACATCGTGTGCGAAACGTTTCTGGATACGCTGGCACTCGGCAAGCAGTAAAAGGAATTTAAGTTAGAAAGACTCGCTTGCAATTTCCAGAAACGCGCGTTCAGGTCCCTCTCAGCATTGTGTTTCATTGGTTTCATTACAATGATAAGTTTCTTCCACAATTTAGATGTTAAAAAAAAAGTTAATGTTGTTGTTTTGAGATCTCTGAGTACCTTGTGAGTCGAACTCCGCCCCTCCCTGCGAGTTCAGTGTCCTCGGTTACTTTACACACTGTAAAAAAAATTGTTGTCACTTAACAGCAAATTTGTTGTTGAGTTTCTCATTGACTCGTGTTGTTCTACAACAGCTTCGTTTGTCAAATAACAGCAAAAGTTGTCCAGCAACAGTAATTGTGGATACAGAGTTAACGAAACGCAAGCGTGATTTTCAGGCAAAGCGTGATTTTTCACGCTTCGTAAGCTTCACACAGCCAATCAGGAACCGACTTTCATCACGCCTGGCGTGAAAATCACGCTCGCGTTGAGTGAACTCTGTATCCACCTTAACAAAAAAAGTCAGCAAAAACAAAATGGTGCCCAATAGTCCAATATCAACAATGCATTGACAACAAACGTAGTTGTTTTTCAACAACTTCTGTTGTTCTTAACAACTGAGCTGTTGGGCAACTACTGAGCTGTTTTTCAACAACTATTTTTTACAGTGCAAGCACTCCTTGGTCGATGATCTCGTATTCTCTTCCCGTAGTGTATTTATATATTTATTTTAGCATGGCCGTGGCGCAGCCACGCACCGTTTGCTTACTACGCGAGAGCTAATTTGATTTGGGAAGCCGGCATCGCAAACAGCAGTGACGTTTTATTGCCATCATGTTATTATTTTCATGCTGTTTTTGTCTCTCTCTCTCTCTTTCTCTCTCTCTCTCTCTCTCTCTCTCTCTCTCTCTCTCTCCCTCTCTCGTTCTCACACACACACACAGACGTGTACAGAAGACACACACACTCGCTTTATTTTTAAAGAGGCGCGGGCACATGGCGTATGCGTGCTCTTTTACTTGATCGTTTTCATAAACCACTCTGAGAGAAGTATCCCAGCTTACAGGCAAATATGCAAACTTATGAGCCAGTCCAACTAAAAGTTGGCTCCAGCAGGCGTAAACTGCTTCTCCACCTTTCGTGAAGTTAATGGTACTTACAGTGTTGTTTCGTCTACGAGAAAAGGTGCTCACAAACACGCAGTACTAGTAATGAGCAGGACAGAGACAGAAAGACTGAGGGTAGAGGTAGGACAGGGGTGGGGGAGGAAGAGAGATGGAGTATGGCCCCGCTCCTGCCGGCTTCGGATATTGGCGTTCCTTGCAGCTCGACGCCTCGAATTGGGCGCCTCGCTCCGCCTCGCCTCGCTATGCTCTCCCCGATGACACCCGGGCGCTAATTTACGGCCGCCCTAGTTGCGCCTCGCCTGGGGTGGGGAGGGGTTTGTGTGAGAGAGGGAGAGAGAGAGAGAAAAAGCACCCGCGATCTTCAGGGCGACGAGTGTCAGAAGGGGTGAAAGTAGTGTCGTTGCCTCTGTGTGTATGTGTGAGTGTGTGAATGCGTCAGTTTCACCCAACCCCACTGAGAATTTGTGTAGTCATGGGAATGACTCTTCAAACCAATATTGATTCCACCGAGAAAACGGAAAATTTTCCTTTGAAGTTTATTTCCCGTAGCAGCAAAATTCCTCTGGCCATAGAGCAGACCATTAATTAGCTCAAAAAATTCCTTTTATCGAAACCAAGCTAATGTGAATTTCCTTCGATTTAATAAAAAGTATTCTT